CCCCGACAGGCCGAGCTGCGGGGCGCAGCCGGAAGCGGCAGCGCGGCCTTTCTTGCCTACCCGGAGGACGACCTCTGCTCCCTCGAAAACGCGCTCTGGCAGGCAGGGGCGCGGCGGCGGCTGCAGCTTCCGCGCGCCGAGCCCAGCCAGCGGGAGCTAGCGACCGCGCCGGCCGCCTGCTGCCTGCGCGCTGCCGACGGCGCTGGCTGCCACGGGGCACTAGACGACGGCGGTTACCATGCCCTGACCTGCCAGGTGGGCGGGGGCGTGGTGGCGCGACACGGGGGCCTCAACCGGAGGGTCGGGGGTCTCCTCCACCGCTGGCGCGGCGAGCGGCCTCTCGTTGAGCAGAGAGTGCCGACTTGGGACCGCCAGCACCCCGACGGCAGACTCGAGCGCGCGATCCTGGACCTGCAGTACCAGGACGACGACGGCACCCACTGGCTCGACGTCTCCGTCCGCCACCCTGCAGCCGGCACGCAGGCCGAGCTGCGGCTGGCCGCGCGCCGGGACGGCGAGGCCAGCAGGCGCGGCGAGCGGGAGAAGCACGCCCGCTACCCCGGCGACCGGCTGAGGCCCTTCGTCCTCGAGGCGGGGGGGCGGCTCGGCGCCGAGGGCCGCCTCTGGCTGCTAGGGCAGGTGCGGCGCTTGCCCGAAGACGAGCAGCAACGCGAGCTGGCGCGGGCCTACAAGGTCTTGTCCTGCGCCCTGCAGGCGGCAACAGCGCGCCAGCTCCGGAAGGCGGCCGGCTTGCGCTAGGCGGCGCGCCGCCGGCTAGCGGGCGGAGCCGCCGCGGCGGCGGCAGCAGCGCGGCTCGACACCGGTTAGCGAGGCCGCCGAGCTGACTGACGCGCTGGCGCGGCGGGGCTAGCGCAGGGCGGAGCCGACAGCCGCTTGGGGTCGACGCGGAGCTGGCGGCGACCCCAGCAGCCCGTGTCGGCCCACGGGGGCCACTGGAGACGCTGGAGGGGCGAGCGGCGGCTCGGGCGGCGGCCGGCGGCTGGCTGCCGCGCGCCGCGGCCAGGCGAACTGCAGCCGCAGCGCGCTGCCGGGGCGCGCGGCCGTGGCTGGTCGAGGTGCTCTATTTGGACTACCAGAGGTATCTATGGTGCTTCCGCCCTCTCATACCACCCTCTGGTGAGGGTCGCGCGGATTTTTACGAGGCTTCGACAGACTCGCCTCCTCCTCCTCCTCCTCCTCCTCCTCCTCCTCCTCCTCCTCCTCCTCCTCCTCCTCCTCCTCCTCCTCCTCCCTCCTCCTCCTCCTCCTCCCTCCTCCTCCCTCCTCCTCCTCCCTCCTCCTCCTCCTCCTCCTCCTCCTCCTCCTCCTCCTCCTCCTCCTCCTCCTCCTCCTCCTCCTCCCCCTCCTCATCTCCTCCTCCTCACCTCCTCCTCCTCCTCATCTTCCACGGCCTCCGTCTCCGCCCACTTCGTCGCCGACGTCGTGGTCCTCTTCGGGGTCGGCGGCACCGGCCGTCAGGCCTTCGCAATCAAGCTCGCCTCTCGCGCACGGTCCCAAGACCGCAAGAGTGGCGCCAGGACCAGGCCATAGGCGGACCCCAGTCGTATGGCACACTCCCGGGAGAGCCCAGCCACAGACCACATCACACTAAAGCAATCCTCGTGCAAACTAAAACGCTTCCCAAGGCCTCACGAGCCGGCAGCCGCACCGTGTTGCTGGTGCTGCTGCTGCTGCTGCTGCTGCTGCTGCTGCTGCTGCTGCTGCTGCGCGTGCTGTAGGTGCTGTGTGTGGGTGTGTCGGTTCTGCGCGCTGCCTCCTCTGCGGATGGGGACATCTCAGGGACCCTCGCGCCTCGAGGACAGCACACGCCCGCGTCTCAGGTCAAGCCCCGTTGGCCTCTGGCCGCACGGGAGCGGCACGGAGCCGACAACGAGGCTGCCGCTCGTGAGCGCCGCGGGGCCCCCGATCCCACGCCCCCCCCCCACACCCCTGCAGCGCGGTGGCGCATGTGCGCTGCTGCGCAACTGGATTTGATGACTCCGCACATTCCATGAGCTGGAGGGGGGGGGGCATCCCGTCGAGGGTGGGAAAAGCTGTCCCTCGCGGGGGCGTGTACATACGCTGGACCGCGTTGGGGGGTGGGCTCGTTGAGCGTGGGGGGAAGGGCAGGCCAGAATGGCGGGGTGGCACTGGGGGGACAAAAAATACCAATACGGCTGCTCCACGGAGCTCTCAGGGGCAGGCTTTCGCCCCGGATCCATGTGTCTAGTTGTGGTGCCGAGGCCCCGGCAACGGGCCCAGGCGACACCAACACCACCAGGGCGAGGTGATGCGAAGAGCGAGGGGGGTCTCCCTGGTGGTGTGGTCCCCCACTCTCGCTCGAGACATCCCCAGCCTCCAGTTCGGGGAGGCATCGTGGACCTCCTCGCTGGAGGTGCCCCCCCTGGTGTTGGTGTCAATTCCCCTCCCTCCGACAGGAGGGCCCAAGCAAAGGAAAAACGGCCGTTTTCAGAAATCAGATCGTCGGCTTAGCCGCCCCGATACGCAACGCGCAACCCTTAGCGTGCTGGCACTGAGCTCAACACTTCGGTTGAAAACGTCGGTCCGGCGCAATGCTCTCGCCCAAACGCGGGCCAGCACGCCAAGCCAACACGCAGCGTGTTGACACGGACGTCTTGAACACGGTACATGTTGCGTTTCAAGGGCGGATATTTGGTTGACACAGAAAGGGGGACCAGCTGAAAGGGGGTGGTGCAATATAGGTTTGGGGCAATTGTGTTGCAAATGCATTGCGCCTGAGAATTGTATTGCATTGTATTGCAAGTAATGTGTTGCACGCGAAGATCCAGCAATACGCCCCCAATGTATTGCAACCCCAAAAGTCGATTGCACCAAATCTATTGCACCGCCCCCTTGTCGCTGGACACCCTCTTGGGTCGCAAGGACTCTCGCCCCGTGAGCCACCCCGCGCCTGCGACAGCCGCTCCCGGAAGGCACCCAGCTGCGCTTCCAGCACGCCATCCGCCGGCCACGGGCCTCGCGCGCGCGGGGTGCGCCGAGTTAACCCGGGGATCCGAGGCTATGACTGCTTGATCCATCCGTCGGTTTCCCCTGGATTTCGGCCTCTGGGAGCCCGTTATCGGGCCCGGGGACAATCAAACATGGATCCGGGACGAAAAACCACTCCCGGGGAGGGCGTCGGGACCTCTGGGGCCGCGGACTGAAAAAGTCATATCGGCGGGTGTCTGGGAAGGTGGGTGGGCTGAGGGAGAGGCGGGCTGGAGCACCGTGGCCCAGCGGCATGTTCCAGGAGGACGAGGGGCCAGAACGCAGCAAACCTACAGATGATCTGTTACGTCAAGTTCGCGAGCATTCTCAATGTCAGACATATTCGCCTACGGCATTGGTCAAGCATTGGCATTCAGAAGTTGAAGACGCCTTGGTATGTAGCAACAGTGCCTCTGCTCGGAGATTGTTTGCGAGATTCACAGTAGTGTCAGCGATGATCGCAAAGTGGCTTTTTGTAGACGTGAAAACACAACGTTCCAATGCTAATGTTGAGCTCGTATGGGCAGGCAGGCAGACCAGCTTGAGCGTGTTGTGATTGATGCTTCATCGGACTCCCCGGCAAGCCAGACAAGTAGGAACAGTGCTACACGTACCTCACCACCATGTGATTTGGCTTCCAGCTGCGCTACGGAAGCACAATATTTTTCGACATGCGACTCGGAGTTTGATGGCCAAACAGTTTGGAGCAATCACGTGTACAGCTGATCAGACGGCAACGCTGTACTCATGGATTGGCTCTGATGTCCTATACGTAGGTTTCGCGCAGCAGCGCCGCAAGACGACGAAGTCTGCGGGCCCCGTGCATAGATGGTTGGAGCACGCAGTCCTTCGGAGACACGGTGAGATGAGAGAAGCAGGTTATGTGCGCTACCGTCTTGCACGGCAGGTGCCTCCTCATCGACATTACTTTATGGCCATGCGGACGGGCCAACACAAATGCATGCAAGCTGCAGAGGTTTATGTAATATGGACGTTGCGCCCAGTAGCTAACTATAACAAGACACATCTCATCAACATGGGCGCCTGTAAATCAAAAATACCACGTGCACGGCCACCTCCTCATGTGCGGCATGGTGGTCCTCGGGGTAAGCGAATCCCTGGTGGTATCTTTGATCGCGGCATTCCTGATCTCAGTACTGGTCCGCCCATCGCGATTGATGAAGGCCTCACGCAACCACCCCCTCCCTCGAGACATGCCCGCCGGGTTTTAAAGGATCTATGGTTCTGGACGCTCGCATTTCACAGGCTGTGTTCGTTCTTGGTGGCTACCCGAAGTGCAGGCCCCATCGAAATCTATTCGGGCAACGTGTGGCCAGTGATGCTATTATGGATATGTACGCGCCGTGCAGAGATTGACTGGGAGAGGCTTGCCACATCCTGGAAGATCGATCTACCAGTATTGTTGATTCACCTTCGAGATTCCATACCACTCGTACCAGGAATTGGCAGACAAGACAACGGTTTAGTGAAGATCAGGTATGCGTGGGTCCGCGGACTCCCTCATATGTCAGCGCTTCGTGTCCAAGTGCCGTACCACGTCATGATAACAATGGTCCGGCGGTCTCTGCACCACGGCATTCATTGTTCTGACTGGCCTGCTGCTGTGCGCGTTATCCTGGGGCCGAAGTCCACGCTCCTCAATAACCACCAGGCCTCATCCAAGGCTCAGTCTGTTTCTCTTCGTGATGTGTGCAATTGCTCTGTCTGCCGTATTCTCGCTGCAGCCAATGGCATTGGTCTCGAGCGCGAAAGATACCCGTACCCTTACCCAGACGGGGTGGCAAGGGGCCCTCGGGGCATCACCCCCCCTGGGTCCGGGTCGGCTCCCGAAACCACCATACATACCCGTACCTAGACGGGGTGACCCAACCACCACCCCAGCTAGGTCCGGGTATGTATGGTTGTTTCGGGCACCGACCCGTACCCAGACGAGGTGGCGGCAAGGCCGAAAACGCTCTAGCGGGCGGCCCTTTTCACCCCAGCTGACCCCGGGTCCGGGTATGTTTTGGGCTAGTGAATTGGTGCCCGATTCGTTCCTCACCGATGGGATGTTGCTGCCCGACCTTTGCCGGACCAGCCCTTGCGGACAGCTGTGACGTTGCGTGTTCGTGGCTCTCTCAATGGTGCGGTGCCCGCGCGAGGTCCAGCTTGAGACGACAGTTTCATCAGGATCCTGGACACATCGTACGTGCCCACAGGCAGTGGGCGGATTGGCTGCCTACGCATTTCCAGTATCTCCTATACACGACGTGTTTTGCGCCGCCTCGAGGGCAATTGATCATGCAAGACGACAAGAAGCAGAAGTCATGCTGGATAATACCCCAAGATTTGTTCGACATGTCGATTTTCCCATCCGTTCTCAATTCCAGAAGCTGGTCTGTATCCAATAGGTCGCAAAATGTTGCGGACATTGATATGAATAGAATTCTGAACGATGTCATCACGGAACCTTGAGAATTGGATCTAAAGTGCGACGCCTGCCACACATGTACACCACCGTCGAGCCTAAATGCTACGGCCAAGGCCGGGGCCCCCGAACATGCTCATCGGAATCCCACAGCTGCTGCCGCAAAATAGTTTCTTTCAGGTCGAGGCAGGCTGTCAGTGAATGGCGATGCATTGGCCGCGCCGTCGACACCATCACACAACGTCTCACAAAAGGTTTAGAACTCTGGCGTCTGAGGGACGCAGTTCCTGAGATAATTGCTGCTCTGGGCCGCCTGTTGGATTCGAGGTCAGAGGACTGGTCATACATTTGCTGCAGGAGCCGTTGTCAAAAACGATTGTGTGACGGTCCGGTTGCTGATGCAGGACAGAGCGCTGCACTGTCGATGGTTCTACGGTTGGCCGAGGCGTCGTCTGGCGAAAAAGACTGTTACAACGCTTCGCGCGCCCAGGCGCCAGGCCCAGGGCCCCCGTCCGACGTTCCGCCCAGACGTTTCACACTCTCGGAGCTTCAGGCCTGGATGGATGGCCTGCATGCGGGTGAACAGAGTGGCAGTGGGCGACACTGTATGTGAGACCCAAGGAGTTCCGATTGGCGGTTTTCTGAGCCGTACGGCGGCATCTCTTGTATTGAACGTGGCTGGGCACAATCGGGTTGCCGCGTGCGCGGAGCAAGGCGTGCAGTGGAACGCATTGGTGGCTCAGCTTCGTTATGTTGGTGATGTGGTAATGCTTTCGTTTAGCATGTGCCGCAGCTGTTTGGCAGAACACTTGAAAGCCATGTACCCCATCTCATTCGATCTGTCTCGCGAGGCTCGCGTGCTCCACTGGCTTGATCTGGAATTCGGCCTGGAACGACTAGTCCACGACTTCCGGTTCAGCAAGGGTATCAGCATCTTACCGCCGTGGGCATCAGAAATTCGTGAGCTGCGTGCATGCTGGCTTTCACGTGTCCCGGCTTGAGGAGATGCACCTGTCAACGGAGCAGTTGGCAAGCCATGTGGCGATGCTCCTAACTGAGATGTCCCGTGCGCAGTGGTCTGATAATCACTTTAGGGCGCTGCATTTGATGACCAGAGGCAGGCGTCCAAGCCAATCCATGAAGGCTCTGTGGGCAGGTCTGCTGTTGAAGGTGGCAGTGAACGGGTGATTGTTTCTCAGAGCATGTAGCCGCTCGTTGGGAGGGACGTATGGTCAGCCCCCTTCTCTTCCGCTAGTTGTGTCCTTGACTTCCCATGTCATCCACACGCTTGCATCATATGTTCTTCCAGTGCAGTCTGTAGCTTCGAGTCCTTGCAAGAGCAAGCCGCGCTCAAAGTCATGACACTCGGGCGGCACCTCCTTACGTGTGAAAACCAGTGCTTCATGTAATGGGCTCCGGCAGTGATTGCAAGTGTGCTTCTTTCAGCATGCTCAGGACGAGGGGACCAGGAATCCGGGAAAGTCTGGTGCCCACCAACCCTCATGGCTGGTCCCCACCCACCCCTCTTGAACGCCCCGCCCATCCCGCGGCAGGGCCCGCCGCGCTCTGGCCGGGAGGCCCAGCGGCGGCGCCCGCGCCGGCGGCGCCGTGACGCGCCACGACCGCAGCAGCAATGCCGTCCAGGGCCCTCGCCAGCCGCGCGTGCGCGGGCCCCGCGCCGCACGGCGTCGAGGGCGCCGCCTCGTCGGCCGGCCCCGCGGCGGGCGCCGCGGGCGGCCCCGCGGCGGGGGCGGCGGCGGCTGGCAGCGAAGGCGGCCGCCGCCGCCGCCTCGGCCAGGCACGGGCGGCGCAGCCTGGGAGCCGCTGCAGCAGCCTGCCGCCGCCGGCCATCACCGGCGCGCGCCGCGCAGGGCCCCACCGGAGCTGGAGGGCGCGGGCCGAGCGCTGCGTGCGGGTGCAGCGTGGGCACCGCGCAGCTCGAGTCCGAGCTCGAGCCCCAAGGTTCGAGCCCAAGCTCGAACTCGAGCCCGAGTCCGAGCCTGAGCCCGAGCCCCCGCCCGAGCCAGAGTCCGAGCCCGGGCCCGAGTCCGAGCCTGAGCCCGAGCCAGAGGACAGCGCTTGCGGTGCCGCCGAGCCTGCCAAGATCTCGGATCGTCCGCCGCCGGCCGTGGCTTCTGACCCCCCTCCTGCCCCATGGGTGCCCAGGCAATGCCGAAGGAGGTCATCACTGGAGGGGTCGCCAACTCCTCCTGGGGAGGAGGTGGGGAAGACCCCCTCAGCACCCTACCCCAAAACCACCCGAATCTCCCGAAAACGTCAAGCGCAACCATTCGATCCGTGGCCACCCCTCCTCCTCGATCCTCGATCCCCAGGAGGAGGTGGCAACCCGTCCTCCCCTTGGCACAGCCTGACCTCAGGTGCCCCTTCCCCCTGTCTGGCCGCCTCTTCCGGGTCTCGCCGTGGGAAATGCGACGAGGCAAGCCCTGGGCTGGGAGGCTGGAGGTGGCTGGGCCGCGCCCGTCCCATGAATCCCACGAGGTGATCCTGGTGATGCCTGGCCCAAAGTCCGCCGAGATGGTTGCACAGCGTCGCGCCCTTACTTAAGACAGCCAGGAAAAACACTTTGTTAAATCCGCTGTCCCTCAGAGAGTGTATCCCAATCGCGCAGATCACGGGACTAACGAACACAACGAGGAACGTGCACTGCTAGTCGTGGAACAGCAAACCGCGATTGAATACGCGATCCACCGCATCACTCCAACATCCGGCTGCCGAGCGCAGGCAGTCTCCCCCAGTCAGCCAGCCCGACGAACAAAAAAAAACCTGGACTCGGGCAACGAGGCAAATGCATGTGCCACGGAATGAATACAAGAACAGAAGCGCTGCTTGTACTTGTTATGTTCCTTTCTTGCGAAGCAATAGTTCGGGTCCCCAAGCGAGGCCAGCATGTGCCCACTTGTTGGACCAAGTGCCTGTGCTCATTCGCCCTCTCAACAATCGAATTCCACAAGCATGGTGGCGAACATGCACAGCAGCTCCATCACACACCAGAGGCAATCGTGGCCAAAGGTACCCCTAAACGGGATGAGCCACACCTGAAGGTGCCTTCCTGACTGGAGGTGATCATGGATGGGATGAGCCCCACCAGCAGGTTGCCAGAGGTGGTCGTGGCCCCAGGCGCCCACAACTGTTCGCACCCTGCCGACGTCCCGAAGACTCGCGGCGAAAGGTGTGTTTTCGCACTCTCGCCCCTGGGGGGCCATCACCCGGCCCTGGGGTCGTGAACACTTTTGCGTTGACAGCGAGGCAAAGGCAGTCCGCACCAGCATGAGGCTAACCGGGGCAACCGAAAGGCGAATTGTCCGGCGTGCAAAAGAAAGGGAAGAAGACGAGGGTGGCCGCGCGAGGGGAGGGGGGAAGCGCTCAGACGTGGAAGCTGGGCTCGCGAACACTGTCCTAGACAAGAAGCGGGTCGCCCAGAAGGAGCTGGGAGGTGCCTGAGCAGCGCTTGGGGAACCGCACACTACGTCGGAGGTACACGAAAGTCGGCATACGGATGCACCTGCCCCCCTCCAGTCCCCTCTCCCCCCTCTTTCCCCTCCTCCCTTCCTCTCTAGTTCACAAAGCGCGGTCGCCACCTCCTTAACGCATCCAGGCACGCCTTCGTCCTTCTCCATCCTTCCACCCTCGATGGCTCCGTCTCCCATTCCCCAAACATAATCTGCGGCACGGGACAAGGGAACACAACAAGAGAGTGTCCGTTCGTCGCCAGGCCTACAGGGAGCATTCTCGAGACCTCTTAGAGGGCCCTTCGGAGACCCCTTCACATGGAGCAGGGAAGGAGAAGAGCTGAGAGCTGAGAGCCCGCGTCTCCACGAGAGGCCCGGATGACGGGCATGCGCACTTCTCACGCGCGGCTGTAGCTGACGGCCTTTCTCACATATCCCGTTTCCTCACGGGCGCGCGCCCCACAAATAGCGACCTTCAGCTTGCAAAGGCAATGCGTTCCACCGTTGGTGGTATCCTGGGGCTGTTTCTGGACCCCAAAACCCGATACCATCAATGTAAACGACCCGGGAGGGGAATCTGATCTCCTGGAGAAGGGGGTCGATAACCAGCCTCGAACTTATCCCTATCCCTAAGATGGGCGAGCAACAAACAGCGAGGACAATCTTAGGGATGTGCCCTCAGGAACCGACGGAATCCTAAAGATCGGCATCGAGGCGAGGTGATGCCAAACACAGGGATAGGGATATGTTTCAAACTGGTGAATCGAGAGCTCGGAGGTGAAACAATATTGGATCGATGTTTGACGGTCCCCGGGCAGAAGCGGGCCACGAGAGGAAGAAGACTGAACAAAAAGCCCGGGGGCGAATGCTTCCCAAGCCCGACAAGCTCTTCTGCCTTCGGCAGCCCGTCGCTCTGCGCCAGGGCGGTCACGCGACGCCTTTCCCGGCTGGCGGCGAGGCGACTGCCACTGGCGGATGAAGGACAAGGAAAGAACACAACCCCGATACTCAGGAGCGTCCAAGAGGGGGGCGTCCAAGAGGGCGGAGCACAAATCATAGCGGGCGGCACGTGCGCGGACCAGGGGGGGGGTCCGGGGACGTACAGAAGCGCCATGAAATCAGGGGAGATATCATGGCCACCGCCATGATATCCACCCCCCTCCCTCTTGAACGTTTCTTGCTCGGCGTTCGACATTGGGCGGAAAGGGGGGAAGGGGTCTGGCTCTGGACCCCTGCTTAGTGCGACTGTTTGCAACAGTGCGTCCTATGGGGGAGAGACTCCACCTGCCTGAAACAGGCGCCAAAAACAGCCAAGATCTACTCCAGGGAGGGGGAAGGGGGTGCGAGGGCCCGCGCCGATCGGCAAAACGATTAATAAGAAAACGATCACCTGGTCATCACCCCCCTCTTGGCCGCCCCCAAAGTACACACACGTACATTTTTTGGCGTCGCGGCCGTGCGCGAGGCGGCACGGCGAAATCAGGCCGGAGCGGGCGGAACCCGCCACACACGCGCGCGGCCGTGCGCGCAGCGGCACGGCAGAATCAGGCTAGAACAGGCGGACCCCGCCACCCAAGGGCACGCACACACGCACACACGCACACACAGACACACACACACACACACACACACATTCACGTTTGGCGGTCGCGGCCACGCGCGCAGCGTCGAGGCGGAGAAACTCACTGAACTTACGGGCGCGCTCGCGGGGAGCCGCTCGCAGCGCGAGGGGCCAATATTCTGTCGACCAGCCATCGGCGTACCCGGAAGGAGGCGTAGTACGATTTTCGACGAAAGACATACACAGACACACGGACACACAAGACGTATTGCGCGGCGGCGGCACGGCGCAAAGGCAACGGCGGCAGCGGCGCCGAGAACTTCCTCGGGCCAGCCTGCCGCAGCAGCGCTGGCGCCGCCCGCGGGTCGCCCAGGCGCTCGGGCTCGAAGCCGAGGCCGAGGGCTCCGAGGCGAAGGGCCTGGGGGGCGAGCAGTGAATGAAGGAACCAGGAACTGCATAAGCATTAACTGTTTGAGGTCCGCGTGGGCTTCTTGGGTCGGCGCTGGACCTCCCTCACTGGCGCGCGGAGCGCGCCGAAGGCAGCGCGGGAGGCCACGCTAGGGGGGCCCAGCGCCGACCCAAGAAATCTGCGCGGAGCTCCGAAAGCTTGTGGTCATGCCGGTTTTTCGTTTCGAGCAAGGGAGCGCGCGTGGCAGGTGGTACGCTCTGGGAAGGGCCTCGCCCTCGAGGCATCGAGGATCTGACCTCTCATACCCGGCAGATGGCCGGCCGAAGCTAAGCGGGGTCGGCTCTGCCGGTGAAGGCCAGCGGAAGCAACGTGTGACCCTCAAGGAAATGTCAACTGTCTACCAGGGACTGGAGCGTGGCGCGGGCCATTGGGTGCACTAAAGGCGAACAGTGCCGAGCAGCGAGAACAGCTGGCTGTTGACGACACTGCACCTGAGCGACAACAAGCAGAATCCAATGACCGAATCAGACGCACGGGGTAACCTTGGATGTCAATAGCGCGCTCAACCAAAAAGCATCAGGCGACCACGCACCGTAATACCAAATGATTCGCTGATGGCGTTGGGCCCCGTCTCGCCGATCGTCGCCTTCTGGTTGCGCAGACGACGACGGCGCTGGTTTACGATTGCGACGGCGCCGGCGTTGGGGGCCACGGTACGGCTGGTCGGCTTGCTCGACCATCCACGATCCCCAACCCACGACGCCATGACTGTTTCGTTACGTCGATCCCCAGCGGCCTCGACCCATTCCCGAGGACCAGCTTTTCAGCCCGAGTCGTTTCTGTCAAGGTTCTGGGGCCCGGCGAGGTGAGTATCGTTTAACCAATCCACATCCCCAGCGGCGTGGCCTGGGCACCACTGGCCGATTTATCCCCCTAGATGGGGAAATAGGTCGTTCCCTTCGAGTTTCGAGGGGTGTATCCCCAACTGGGGTGGTAATTTGGTGGGGTCCCGAAGGGGATGGGGATGGGGATGAGGATGAGGATTGGTTAAACGATACCGACGAGGGCCTTCCCTGGAGGCCCGAGTACAGCCAAAAGCAGCCCTCCGTCGTGCCTTGTTTTCATGGCTCGGGCGGGTCTGGGACCGCGGCCTTCCCCGATGGGCGCAGACCGTTTGGGCGGCGCCCAGTGGGGGGCGAACAATTTCAGACATATTGGCCCGGACCTTTGCGAGTGGGCGCTTTGGGGCGCGATACATGGGGGAGGATCAGTGGGTGGGGGAGAAAGGCGCACTTCTCGGGCCCAAGAGGCCTCCTGATGGGCCCTTAGAAAGGGTCCCTCCCTGGGCTCCAAAAAGGACACCTTTTCTGCAGCCCTCCCTGTCGTGCCGTTTTTTCATGGCCCGGACGGGTCTGGGACCGCGGCCTTCCCCGATGGCGCGCAAACCGTTTGGGCGGCGCCCAATCGGGAGGCGATCGATGGAAGACCTAGTTGTTCGGACGTTTGCAAGTACGCACTTTGGGGGGCGATGAATGGTGGGCGATAAGAAAATGGGGGGGGGGAGACAGGCGCACTTCTCGGGCCCCAGAGGCCTCCTGATGGGCCCCAATAAAGGCTCCCTCT